GGGCTCAGCCTCAGCCAGGGCCGCAGTCAGGCAGGCTTCCTCTGAAGTTCCCCTTGGAAGTTGGTTTGCTGGCCAGACATCATAGGCTCAGAAGATCCATTCTCTGGCTGTTTCCCAGGGGAAATGTCTTAAATAGTTATCATGCTAGCAAGCGAAGTCACCAAGCCCCAGAATTGCAGCTGCCTTGCCAGGTGACGAAAGGGCTTTTGGAAACCCAATTTAGGGCGTTACTGACAGGAGTGAGTTAGTGGAGGGACTTCCTAGTGCACCGCTTGCTGACCGCCTTGGATGTCACATGTGATGCAGGGCTGTGACACCTGTAAGCCAGAGTCCTGTCCAGGATGGGTGCACAGCGGTGCTGACAACGGTGCTGCTATTTCCCACTCTGAGCCTTGGGGAAAGCCTCCCTAGAACTGTCATGGGCAAAGAAGGATTTGGCCATGGGAGCCTGGAGCCTCTCTGGAGGCAGCTGGGCTTAGTTCCAGGGCCTATCCTTGTCAGGCAGAGATGCTGAGCCCCGGGCTGGAGCCGACTTGGAGAGGAATGGCTGAGGAAACTCTGAAGATAGCCCCTACCATGTCCTGCAGCCTTTCATGCCGTTCGCTGAGTCATCATACATGGGTCTTGTTTACCAGATACCTGAGGGGACAGGCAGTTCAGGGGCCTTGGACTCAGCTGTACTTCCATTTTGATCAAAAATTATGGTGTTTGTAAAGAAAAATTTATTACAGTAAAGAGGGCTCATCAAAAATATGGTATGTGTTTACGTAAACGTTTATGATGGTAAAAGACATATTCCATGAGTCCCTCTCAGAACCCCCCTCACACTTTGAACATACTTATATCCCATCATTCTTGCCACTCTCTGCAGCAGCTCTGGAGTCCTGTTTCCTGAGTGTCTGTACTAGGTGTGATAAAAAATACAGTGAATTCTGCAGCCAAGTGCCATCCAATGGAAAGGTAGCTTGTAAAAAACATGACTCTGTCCTCATCCACCTTGTTCACCATGTTTGATGCAGTGTGACTTCCAAAGTCAAAATAAGCAAGAAAGAGAAAGATTTTGAATCAAGTCAAGACATCGAGGCAGCCAGCACAGCACAACTAAAGACGCTCAGGAAACAGGACTCCAGAGCTGCTGCGGGAAGGAGCAAGGACCATGGGAAGAGTGTGCTCAAAGGGAAGGGAGGACCTTGAGGAAGATGAGTGCCAATGTGTCATTTGCTGTCATAAATGTTCTTTTTAACTTAAACATTCATCACCTACATAGATCAATTGCTTATAGCAATTTCTGTCAAATAAAAATACCACAGTATGACCTTACCACTTTATTCACTGGATCTGGCTCTTCCCCAAAGTCAAATCGACTAGGAAAGGTGGACATTTTGAACAGACTAGGGATACTGAGGCAGCCTCTTCAGACCCAGGTGAGTGTGTGCCCAGGTGGCTAGCAGTGCAGGTGAGGGTGGTGCCCTCTGGTCTCTATCAGGTTCTATGGCATTGTATGAACACATTTGGGCCCCTTTATCCATGGCCATTCCCAGAGATCAGAACTTCTCTGGGGGTAATGATAGATGCATTTTTCTCAGGAAAGCACATAGCCCTCTGCAGTGTGTTGCTTTATTTTTGCTTTTATTTGGGGGTTCACTGTTTTTCCCCTAGGTTCCCAGGTACATCATTTGCACACTGCCCTCGAACAGCCAGGCACACAAGAGGGTCACAGTCTGGTGGTTTCTGAGCCCCGAGGTTCTCATAGATAGGTGTGGCTGACTGAGGGGAGACAGGCATGGCCCTTCTACTTTTTTTATTTTTATTTTTATTTTTTATTTTAAAGAGTAAAAGAAGGATAACATAGTAATGGGGGGCTTACCGAATTACAGACAAAGTGGTAGGAAATTATCAGTGGTTGCTGTTTTACATATTGTTATCTACAAGATAATTTCTTAGGAAAACAAATAGACAAATAATAGTGAGTTACAGACAGAAGTGATAGGTCATTATCAATGGATGTTGTACTATACTTTGGTATCTTCAAAGTGGTTTCTAAAGAAAATAAATAGAGCTATAGATGAGTGACCAATTGAATATTCATTGACTATTCTCAATGGTTGTTGTAAGAAACACATAGTAATAAACATACATCCATTCACAAAATAGCACAGGAACAATACAAACATTGCAGAGCTATGGACAGATTAGTAGGAAAATATCAGTGGCTGCCATAATACATGGTGGTATCTTCAAAGTGGTTTCTCAGGAAGACAGAGATACACAAGAAAGATCTAACAAGTAGTTACAGCCTAAGGGTTGTGAAAACAGCGTATTACCTCCTCACCAGTGACTCCTTTCACTGCGGTGTGATAGCTGGAAGGAAGGCCAGGATTGAAAAGAAGGACCAAGAGACTTGCACCTGTGTCTAGCAACAGGCTGTTTTCTTTTTCCTCCATAGTCATGATTACCCACGGCTCTTCCATGGAGATGATAGTCTGGCCAGAGGGAGAAGGCAGAGTATGCCCTGGGCCCCCTCGTTTCCGTTTGACTAAATGGTAGGATGGGTCTGAGCTCTGGGGCCTCCGCTTCAGAGGGCAGACCGATCTCCAGTGGTCACCTTTGCATTCAGGGCATGGCCCATGGGGCTTCTTCTGGCAATTCCTCTTGAGGTGGCCTGGCTTTTAACAGTGGTAGCAGATGAATGCAGTCGTTGAGTTCTTCTTGGTGCCCCGAGAATCAGACTTGGGGTCTGTTTCTCTTAGTGCTGCAGCAAGAGCAGCTGCTTTTTCTCGATCTCTTTGTTTTCTTTCCTTGGCCTCCTCCTCACCATGGCTACAGAATACTGAGGAGGCAATTCTTACTAACATCTCAAGTGAGCCATCTGGGGCAAAAGCCATTTTTTGTAGCTTTTTCTTTCCAGCCTCCCAGCGCATTGGGACCCCACAACCACTTAGTGTCCTCTCCCCAACTGTCAACACAGGCAGCAGGAATCTCGGTGCAGACCTCTCTGGAGCTCAATGCATTCCTCCACCGCAGCCTGTACTGTCAGGGGAAGAATGGCTTCCAGGAGGTCTCCCCAGGTGTTGCACAAGGTCCTCCAGGTTTCCAGCTTCTGAATGGCTCTTGTGACCCCAGTCAACTAGACCTCTGAGTCATCAGGCGTAGTCTATATTGTCATGTTCACTGAGTCCTTGTTCAGCAGCTGCTTCTCCACTGACTCTGGACCTTTCTGGTTCTCAACAGCAAGGGCAAGAGTGACCCATTGTGTGGCATGTATTCCCAGGTGTTTCTCCATGTCAGGATGTTTCACACACGTCCCCAGGCAGGCCTCCGTGGCCAGCCTGTGGTGAGCCAATTGTGTCATTGCTTCTCTGTGCCATGATAGTTCTCGACTGTGTGGCAGCGGCTGGCCTGAGGGCCACGTGGCTTCCCAGGCACCAGCTGCCTGCCTCCCGGGTGCCTGCACTGCTAGGGTCCAGCCCAAAGGCCGCCACTTCCCGCTGCACAGCTTCCTGGTCACCAACTGCCTGCCTCCCGGGTGCCTGCACGGCTCGGGTCCGACCCGAAGGCTGGCGCTCCCCACTGCATGGCTTCCTGGGCACAGGCAGCCCATGGCCCTTCCATTAACAGTGCCTTCTTGCACACGCAGGTCTTGTTATGAGAACAGACTGCACACAATCATAACTAGCATGACTAGTCATGACTAGAAAAACAACTCACGTTCTGGCAAGTTGCAATTAGGAATTTACTTCCTAGATCTTCACTGTGCTCATCCTTTGTCAGTTGAATTCTTGGCTTCACATTTGTCCCAAACTCTTCATTTCAGATCCAAAGCCTTCCCTCCAGTGGTAGCCCCTGCCCGTCCACCCATGCCCAGGGTTTGCTGAGTTCCTCAGCCTTGCTAGCCTTTCTTGCTCTCAGTTTGCCACATGATGAACAGTGGAGAGGGACATGGCAGAACTGCAGCTGAGCCCTAGGCCCCAGACCTGCTTTCCCAGGGCCCTGGCCAGCACCAGCTTGCTCTGACCTTGACACGCATCAGAATCCAAGGTAGCAACTTTGTCTTCAGCTGCCAAGCTTGCCAGTTCACTCAGCAGCCCCCAGGCCTCCCTGCTGCTGTCTTATGAGCAGAGATGCAGGCCCAGCCAGCAGAAGGTGGCAGGTGCTAGACAGCAAGCCATGAACATGCAGGAGGATGGTGCCTCTGCCTGTCCTCAAGGACAAGGGGCCCAGCAGGCTCCCTCCCTGGTCTCTGGCCTCCCAGCCCTGCCTGGCATCATGAAGGGGCAAAGGGCACAACCACCTGCATCCCGGGCTTCCTTATCCTACATGATAGGGCTGAAAAGCCTCCTGAGAGTAGGAGGCAGGCCCAGCAGAGCTGTGTGAGGGTGCAGGACAGCACCTACATATGTCCCAAGGCTGCTGTCCTGCTCCTGCCACTGCTGTGGCCCCTCTGTCAACCAGCAATGGCCCTGGGGCCTGAGCCTGTGGCAAGGGAAGCCTGAGAAAGTCACCCACTGCCCAAGAGGGCAGGGTCCCCCGTGCCAGGGTCCTCTGTGTGTGTGACTGCGTGCATTCAGGCTCAGCTGACTCTCCCCAACCCCCAAGCCTATACTTCACCCATAAGTCTGCCATAAACAGTGAGTGCTGATCAGGCCATTGTCAACACTCACAGATGTGGTGGTCTCTCATGCACTCTCACCCGCCAGAGGATGCCGCTGTCCTCATACTGAGTAGCCTCTGTGTAGCTCTAGTCGGCATTGCTTGTTACTGAAAGCAGTCACATGAGCATACTGGCAGCTCACAGCGTCACCCCAAAGAGGCCTGTCACTTGTGTTTGCACCCTACAGCAACTTCCTTCCTGGCAAATTATTCTGGGGACCTGCTATCCCTGGCTCCTGCTTCCCAGTCCGACTCTGTCCCCCTGGATTTGAGTAACCAGAGCCTAGCCATGTTGTCCATAAGCCTCAGACTGTGCCATAAACAATTCCTTTCTCTCTCTCCCCCTGCAGGAATATTTCTACCCAAGATACCAAGGTAAGTCTCAGTCGCTGCTTTTCCTGCTTGTCACCAAGGCATAGTGGGGGACACCAGCTTCATGCAGAGAACCCTGCTAACAGGGCATCCCAGAGGGGAGGTACAGTTTTGGAACTGTGCAGACCCAAGCTCTCAGGGCAAGGACACAAACTTCTTTTTTATTTTTATACCACAGTTTATTCTACATTCTCTGATGGCATACATTCTACATTCTACATATTTTTATACCACAGTTTATTCTACATTCTCTGATGGCTGAACTTTGCTTTGAGGCCATGGTTTGCAGTCCTCTTTTCTGATTTGATGTCAAACTCTACCACTATTTGGCAAAACAATGATTTATGTCCTCAGACTTAAGAGTCCATCATAGGGAACTTGGGACTCTGCACTTCTGAAATTATTGAGGACCCCAAAGAGCTATGTTCTTGTTAGCCGTATTTATTGGCATTGGCCATGTTCATTAAGACTGAGAATACTAAGAAATGATCATGTTGGCTTGAGGAATGCACAAACACTTGGCTACTGGAGCAGGCATCAGTGACTCTGGAATACCCCACAGGCATAAATGCCTTAGTCTTCCAGGGCAGTGGTTCTGACCCTAGGCATGCCCTGAAAGAGGCTATGGGTTACCACTGAGAAGCACTTGTCCAATCAGTAGCATTTTAAAGTCTTGAATGTGTGTTGCCCAGAGGAGAGAGTTGCACTCCTAGCCTTTCCAACTTTGCCAAGGGCATGAAGGAAAAGCTATCAGGCCTACCTTCTCCCAGAGGCTCCTGCTTAGAGCATATGCGTGGCCCTGGGAAACCCAGGTGGCCTTGTCTCTGGATGTTCTGGCTTTGGGTCCCAAGGCCAAGTGTGAGCCCAGTCCCAGGATATACTTGTTGTTCATATCAACATCTTTCCACCCGTGGACAATGGCAGTTGCCCTGAGGATCTCCGCTGCACCCCTTGGACACATATCCAGGACACCCTGCTCCTGTGGGGCCTACTGTCCAACCACATCCAGCAGGTCCGCTAGGTGGCTCTCCGGAGCAGGTGGACCTCAGGTGGAGCATGGTGTGTCCTGACCGGTCCCTGACCCCAGCAGCTCACTTCCATGGGGGACAGGAGATGGCTCTGCTCCCCTGTGGGTGGATGAGCACTGGCCATCTGGCTGCAGAGCTCTCCCTTGAGGTGAGGGTGGCTTCCTGTTGTCACCACTGAGCTCTCTGAGCTGATGAGAGCCAAGCTGCATGGTGCTGCAGGATTGCGGCACCCAGTCAGGTGGAGTCATGTTCCTAGCATCTTTCACTTGTAGCCTGGACTCTGATGCCTTCCCATCCCCTGATGCCCATGTTGTCCTATTGGCTTTTTTAAATTTTGAGACAGGGTCTTGCTGTGTAGTTCAGGCTGGCCTTGAACTGTGTAGCCCAGACTAGCATTGAATATGTGGCAAGCGTCCTGCCTCAGCTTCCTGGATGCTGGGATGGCATGGTGTGTACCACCATGCCTGGCTCACACTGTCCAATTCCCTCTTGCAGAGTGCATCAATAAGTATGGATCTCGATACATCAAACACCCAGACTTTGTCACATGTGTCCAGAGTAAGTGTGTCCCTTGTCTCACTGGAAGTACAGCATGCTGGGGTATGCAACCGTCAGGGTATGTCTGTGGTACAAAGTTTAAACATCCCACAAGGTATGATGCAGATGTATGTCCCCTCTTATTGTCCAGCTGAGGCCACCTTGGCCCCTCTGAGTCCTCTACTTCCCACAGTGCGGCTCAGGTCTCTGCCGCCAAAATCCCCCAGCTCTCCTGCCTGCTCCTCTGTGTGCTTCACACACACTTCCTGTCAGACTCATGGCTGTGTCCTGCCCACGCTGCTAACCGCCTTCTAGGTTATTCCAGTTCTCCTGTAGCAAACCAAACAGTGTCCCCCCAGGGCTCTTGTTGCCCCGGTGCCTCAGTGTACCCTGAGGTAAGTTCAGGAGGGATGGGTCAAGCCTGCACCATCCTTCGTCCTGAGAGGCTGGTTTTCTCTTCTTATCCTGGCTCCCATTTCTACTTGGAAAAGCCTTCAGGCCCAAGGTGCCCAGACAACTGCCAGCTGCTGCTCATGGCTTCCTCCCTGAGGAAGGGCATCAGCGGTAAACCTGCTGCTGGTTTTCCTCCTAGACAGAGGAGGGTGGTCAACCTCGTCCTGCCTTGCCTGGCCTGGGCTATGCGGACAGCAGCTAGCTAAGGATCCGTCTCAGCTTCTGGTGTGGAGTCTGCACAGGCCCCCAGTGTGAGCCTGAGAGCCAGGCCTGGGCTTTGGTGTGCAACCCTAGGGGGCATTTTTGTACACTGGAAAGGAGGCAGGGAAACTTCCAGGAGCAAGATGCTTCTTATCTGTGGTGAAGCAATTCTGTGACATAGGACACTGGTTGTGGTGTGAGGCCAGTCTGGACACTGTACTGGGGCAGAAGTCAGGCAGACTGGTAGGTTCTATGCTAAGGCCCAAGGGGACTCTGTACTTCCTCCAGAACCCACGATGTGCAGCCAGGGTGGCTGCAGATCCCAGCCACTCCAAGGGCAGAGTGTGGGGCTCTGACTTCCTCACACTGGGCCTGCCTGCATCTGTCTGCTCAGCAGCCTGTGAAAAAGGCTTCTTGGAGCCCTGGACATAACAGATTTTTCTGCCAACTGCCCCACTTTTGGGTTGCAAAGGTCATGCGTGGTGCTTTCCTGCCCACAAGAGACCTCTCAGCTGCATAGCAGGAGCCAGGACATGGGCTGAGACTTCATCAGCTCTCTGCCCTACCCACCTTGCTGGTCAGCTTTACCCTTCTGATTCCTCAGAGATCCTTCTTGCTGGGCAGCCTAAAACCAGGTCTCCCGGGCTGGGGATTTAGCTCAGCGGCAAAGCGCCTGCCTGGCAAGCGCAAGGTCGTGAGTTCGGTTCCCGGTACAGGAGAAAAAAAAAAGAAAAAAAAAAAAAAAAACCAAAAAAAACCAGGTCTCCCGCCCTGAGCAATGTCCAGGGCACCGCTAGCTCTGAGGCTGATGGCTGGGTGGGGTGGACACCATACTAGGTGGGGAAGGCAAGGGCCCTGGTCTTCCTAGAAACTGTGGGCAGTGAGAGGCTGCTCCTGGGGGCTCCGGCCTTTGACCTTGGCTGCTCCCTGCAGTTGCTGCTCCTTTCTGGGGGCTCTGGACTTTCCTAGGCCGGCTCCAGCACCTGGCCTGATCTGAGATGGGGAGCAGAGGTTGTGCGGGGGCTTTGGGAGTAGCTCAGGATGATTTTCTCCTCTGTATCCTCCAACTCAGACCTGCCTGACCAGTGCACGCCAAATCCATGTGATAAGCAGGGGACCCAGGTCTGCCAGGACCTCATGGGCAATTTCTTCTGCCTGTGCAGAGCCGGTTGGGAGGGCCGGCACTGTGACAGAGGTAAGGCCACAGCCTGTTCACTTGCCTAGCCCAGCCCTGCCCACCTCTCCCTTCTGCCCTGTTTGGGGTCCTGTGGTGGCTAACCTTAGCACCCTCAAGGGCTGCTTCCTTCCCTATGCTCCCCTGGGTGCTGCTGCCCTGGGATGGCCTGGAGCTGCGGTGCTCAGAGGGGCTGGGGCTGAGGCCACTGGGAACAGGTGCAGCGGGGGAGCCCCGCTGAGTGTTCCCACCTGGACTCAATACCAAACCCTAGGGAAGGTGTCCGCCTTGGGCACAATCTGCAGCCAGAGGTGACCCGGCATCTGGGATTGGGTTGTGTGGGGTGCAGCTCTGGCAGGCCCTGTGCCCCTGCCTGAAAGACCCCTTTTGGCCTCCACCCTCTCCTGTGTGCATGTGAGGACCCTGGAACTGGGTCTGCGCTGTCATCGCCACCAGCAGCTGGGACTCTCTTTGCCCACCACTGAGCCCCCTCTATACCCAATCCACATGCCCGAGGACAAGTGCCTTGTGTCCCTCACCCCATCTCTGTGCCCAGATGTGGACGAGTGTGGACAGCAGAATGGGGGCTGTGGCCAAGTCTGCCTCAACACACCAGGCAGCTTCCATTGTGCCTGCCACAGCGGCTATGCACTCAGCCAGGACGACAACCGGACCTGCCAAGGTGAGGACCAGCCAGGGTGCCCTGTGTCTCGCCTCCTTCCCCTCCTCTCTCTTTTCCTCCTCCTTGGCTTGGGTGGGGCTGTGCATCCTCTGGGAACCTCACAGCCCAAAAATGGAACCCACCATAGTTTCTGAATCTGAGGGGCAAGGTGGAGGTGCTAGGAACCCTGAGGAGGCTGTTTATTGTTTAGACAGCAATAAAGACATTGAAACTCCCACCCCACACTGGGTCCGGGGCTGCTCTCGCCTTGCCTGCCTTGGTAGCCACTGCCGCTGTCCCAGCCCACCTGACACCAGCCTGCTTGCCCTTCTCGCAGACATAGATGAGTGTGCGGACACAGAGGCCTGTGGGGAGGCGCGCTGCCAGAACCTGCTGGGCTCCTACACCTGCCTCTGTGATGAGGGCTTCAAATACAGCACCCAGGACAAGGCCTGCCAAGGTACACTTGGGCCCTGTGACCTCTTCCCCAGCCACTGCCTCCAGCCCCAGGTTCCAGTAGCCACCAGCAGCTCACAAAGGACGACCCAGGGAGGAGGCTCCTCACTGAGCCCCACACCAGGCCCTGGGGCTGTTTCTGCCGCTATGCCCACGTAACACCTGTGCACGTGTGCCCTCCCACATGAGCAAACACATGCACAAAAATGCAAACACCGTGCACACCTGTGCACACATGCCCTCATGTGCGAGCACATGTGGATGCACACAAATGCAGACACAGTACACATATAGCATGCATGCATATGCACACAAACATGTTCGTGCACACACATGGATATGCATCTGTGCACACACATCCATGCAGCACACACTGTTAGTGTGGACATACATGCACATATATACACACATGCATGTGTTCACACATGCATGTGCACACACATATGCCTCTGTTACCCAGCCTGTGGTACATACAGAGCCACTCCAATCCAGGGATACCTGCAGTGGGGGCATCCAGGCCTGTGAGGTGGATATGACCCTGAGATACGAAGGGGTGAGGCTCTGTTCTCTACTCCTGGTAGCCGCGAGGAAGGGTTGAGCCCACTGTGTCTGCACAGTGCTCTGGGGAGCACATAGGGCCTGAAAAGCCAGTGAGAAGAGGGAGGTTCCAGCTTGCACCCTCCCTACATTCCCAAGGTCTCCTGGGACCTGTCCCTCCTCATACCTGCGGCACTGGCTTCCATGACGAGAAGGCCGGGTGTGTGAGAAGGGGGAGGCCAGCTGCAGTGGTCCCCAAGTGGGAGATGTGTGTGCCACCCACATATCTCCACTGGGCACAGGGGCACTGTCCCCACACCCACAGTGACCCTCTGCCTACAGATGTGGATGAGTGTGTGCAGGGACGCTGTGAACAAACATGCACCAACACCCTGGGCAGCTATACCTGCCACTGCAATGGTCGAGGGGGTCTCAAGCTGTCCCCCAACATGGATACCTGTGAGGTGAGTGGCCAGTGCTGTGGGCAGCAAAGGACCCACATTACAGGTGGAGCAGGGGTCCTGGGTCATGTGGAGAAGACTCATGCTGTGGAAGGACTTGGCTGTGTTGATGGAACTGCCATAGCAATGTGGCCTCCCAACAGCAGCAGGGCAGGGACCCAGGGTGCGAGGCCCTTACAACAGAGTACTTCCTGCCTCCACCACTGTGGACCTGCAGACACAGTGGGCCCTGAGCGGTGCATATGCTGTGGACCCAGGACGTCCAGCCTGATCTGCTTCAACCTCCCCTTCGATGGGGCAGTCTCCCAAAGGGGACAGGCCCTGTTGCCCTTTGTCTCCCCAGCTCTGGTTCTCCCACACACACCTGAGCATCAGGGAAAGCAGCAACCCAGAGCAAGAAACATTTTGGTACACCAGCCTTCAAGGCCATTGTGTTCTACTCGTTTTGTAACATTATTCGTGATTGTTTTTGTATTGTACTCCCTTCTGTTAGATATATTTCATAATTTAAAGAACGAAAGCCAAGGAGGACTTGGTAGAAGCCAGGCTCCAAGGGTAAGGGTTTGGCTAGGGATCACTGAGCCCTGGCTCTTGGCCTGGAGGCACGAAGTGCAGAGGCCTCACTGTTCTGGGATTCTAGCAGCAGGGCAGGCACAGGGGTGGGTCAGAGTTCCTGTCCCTCAGCCAGGGGTCCAGGCAGCCACAGCGCAGCCTGTCCAACACACCCCTGTCCTTGCAGGACATCTTGCCTTGTGTGCCCTTCAGTGCAGCCAAGAGCATGAAGTCCTTGTACCTGGGCCGCATGTTCAGCGGGGCTCCAGTGATCCGGCTGCGTTTCAAGAGGCTGCAGCCCACCAGGTGAGACAGGGTCCACAAGCTGTGTCCCAGTTCCAGAGCCTGGAGGGTCTGGAGGTTGTGCAGGCTGAGGGTTATTGAACCTGCTGGTGCCTGCTGTGCCATGTGGGGCTGCCCCAGCCGTCCACCCGCCGCATCACCCTGATTTGTCTCCTGTTCTGGACAGACTAGTGGCTGAGTTTGACTTCCGGACCTTTGACCCTGAAGGCATCCTATTCTTTGCTGGAGGCCACTTGGACAGCACCTGGGTGGTCCTGGGCCTGCGGGCCGGCCGGCTGGAGCTACAGCTACGCTACAATGGCGTTGGCCGTGTCACCAGCAGTGGGCCAGTCATCAACCATGGCCTGTGGCAGACAGTGAGTGTGTCTGGGGCACAGCCTGGGTCAGATGCTATCCCTGTAGGTGCTACCCTGGGGCTGGGCATGGAGCCTGCATGCACCAGGTGGCTGAGCATAGCTCTTCAGGAAGGGGGCACCATAGGTTGGGGACTGAGGCTAGGGGCTGTGCAACACTTACAGCAAGCCCTCACCCGACAGAAGAAAGTTTGGCCTGAGTCACAGTGGAACCTGGCAGTAGACACCCCCTCTACCAGGGGACCCCAGGCTGGGCCACTCACGGAGGCTCTTGGGGCCCGGCCCTTGCTGTAGGCCCCACATCCCGAGCCCAGTCGTGAATGAGACTCTGCATGCCATGGCTGGCTTGGGAGCAGACCGTGGAAAAGAAGCAGAAAGACGTGCTTTTTCCTTGGAACTGAGGACCAGATGGGAGCTCCGCCAGGCCCAGTAGAAGCTGCTGTGCTCACCTGCCAAGTCACGTCTGCCCCACCTCAGCTGGGAGCCGGTCCTGAGGGAGGGCATTCCTTGCATAGCAGAGGCTGGCACTAGGCCCAGGGGAGTGGGCCAGGGGGTGGGTGCTCTGCACAGCCGAGGGCAGGCTAGCCCCTGCGGGTAGCACCGCTGTCTTGGCCCAGTTCAGCCCTGTTGTACCTTGGCCAGCAGGGAGGCTGACGTCTGCTGGGTGATGAGGACAATGTCTGATGTGTGAATCTCAGGGCTTCTGCATGGAAAGTTTCAGAGGAATTTACTTGCTCATTCAACCCACAGCCTGGGCCAGGCACTGTACTGACTGGTAGGGGCTTAGAAATGAACACCCTCACACCTCCAGCCATGCATGGCTCTGGAGGAGCAAGGGGGTACTGGTGACATCAGGCCTGCCTGGGCAGGGCAGCTCAGGGCTGAGTAAAGAGGTGCACCGATTGTCTGGTCTGAGTGTGAGCAGAGAAAGCCAGTGCTGCGAGGGGCATTCAGGCTGCAAAGAGGTTGTGTAGGCCACTGAGGTGCAAGGCTGTGCACAAGCAGATGGAGACCAAGCGTCAGCTGCTGCTTGGGCCCAGGAGGACACAGGAATTCCAGTTTCTTCTGAGAGCCAGAGCTAGGACAGGTTCTGCTCTTGAAGATCCACATGCCCATGTGGATGGTGATGGGTCAGGTGATCTGCACCTTCCCTCCACAGTCAGCCCTGCCGTCTCTGCTGGAGGACAGGCTCGCTAACCACTCTGCAGCTTCAATCCCCAAGGACATTCACAGGGTAGAGTGTGTCCAGCCTCAGGGAAGGGCATGGCTTGCACACCTTGCTGCCTAGGCTCCCTTGGGGGAAGGGGCTTCCAGGAGATCAGGGAGGAGCTGCTCTGAGAGATTATCACCCTGCACACTGGCTCTCACACAAGGCACCAGAGGGGTGGCTCCAGGCCTGGTGGTCTTCCCCATCCTGGGCCTGCTCTTGCCTCAAATCTGTAGATTTGTAGTCTCGGTCCTACAACATCTTCCTACATCCCCGGAAGATGTCACCCATCCAGGCTGACACCTTCTAGGGTCTCTGGGCCCTGAGCACTTGGAGGGTGAATGTCGAGGCGGCTTGGGGTGGGATGGGGTGGAGGAGGGTTGGGTTAAACTACAGAGGGGAGTGAGGACACAGCCACCACAGAGAACATGCTGGGTGCGTTGAAAATTGGGTGAGGGAAATAGAGGGCTGAGGACTTGTGCAGAAGCGTTGGGCCACTGGGCAGAACTCTGAGAGTCACCCACAGCAGCAGCTGTGCACCTCCCAAGCAGCAGTTCCAAGTGTCTAGACACATGTTAGCCTGGAGCTGGCCAGGAGCCCCAGTGTCACAAAGGAGAGTCACGAAGGAAAGACATAATCCTGGATCTCAGGCTGTTTCCTGTGCAATTCCCTCAACACAGTGCTCACCACTGTAGGAGAGAAAGTGTGCCCAGAGCCACTGTGCAGAGGCCAGAGCATAACACCTGGCCGAGATGCCAGGCAGAGGCCTGACCACCGCACGGTGGAGCTGCTAGGTAATGAAGCAAAGGGGTCTCGCAGACCGAAGAACACACTGTCTCGCTTGGGATCAGAACCAGGACAACCAAGCTTTGCCTAGGGATGATGGCTCAGTGAAAAATCCACAAAAAAAAGCAAGGTCATGGTACCTCTCACAGTGGTGGCTCCAACAGAGGACACACAGGGCCACAGCCAGCTGTCCCCTCACCTGGCCAAACACCCTGGCTCCAAGAAGGCTCATCAAGCTCATGATTTTGTTCCTAGAACTTTTCCACAGCCGTGTGAGCCAGGGTTGAGCACGGAGGTGGTTCCAGGGTGCTTACCAACTGTGGCTCAGGATTTGCTAGGGTCAGATTCCACCCTGAGGCCTACGGCAGCTCAGGGGGCCACACAACCACCACAGGATGGGGATCCCACTGCCCCTAGGTGTCTGGGTCAGGACATGGAGGCCATCTTGCCCGTGCATTTGCTTTACAAAACACAGGCAAGGCAGGTTCACTGTGGTGGGCCTGGGGGACTCCACTGCACCAGGCTGACTCACTACTTCTTCTGAAACTGGGAGGGTAACACGGACCTTCCTGTGGAGGGCTCTATGCAGCTCTAGCACTGCCTGTGCTGGGTGGGTCACACTCCACTGGCTGGACCCTCTCTCCAGTCAACTCCTGACTTGCAGCTCAAAGGAACATGACTTCTGCCCAGTGAGCAGGGGTATAGGCCCTAGTGGCATGATCCAGGGCATGTGGCCAGGGCCCTTGCATGGGCCCTCTTACCCGGGAGATGTGGCCTGGCCCTTAGGTAGGACCCTGAGTGGGAGTGTCCCCTCTTGTGTCCTCACAGCTGCCTCTTCTTTAGATCTCTGTGGAGGAGCTGGATCGAAACCTGGTGATTAAGGTCAACAAGGATGCTGTGATGAAGATTGCAGTGGCTGGGGACCTTTTCCAGCTGGACCGAGGCCTGTACCACCTGAACCTCACAGTGGGGGGCGTTCCCTTCCCAACCCGGGACCTTGTCCAGCCTGTGAGTGCTGTCCTGGGGGTGAGGAGGGTGCAGCATGTGGTGCCAGGGCCTGGTGTGCCACCTCCTCTACTCCTACCCCAGCTGGGGACAGCCAATTCCCAGGGGAGTGGCAGAGGCCCAGGGGTAGCAAGGCTGGGGACCCTATAGTCTCCCCACTTCCTCTAAGGCTCGTTTATGTTTTCATTGAGTTAATAATTACAAATCTATTTCGTGGCAGAGAGAATGGTATTTTTAAATTAAAGAGCAATTACCTTCTTGGATGATTCCCAAGAGCCTTGTGTGTTGTGGGCCCTGCCAACATCCCACAGGGGAATGCCAGAGTGGAGGGCAGTGCTGGCCACTTCCAAGTGCTGCCTCTTCTTCCCCTGCACCCCATACTGCGGTCACTGCCTGCTTCTTGTCTCCCAGCCCCACCATTCAGGATCACAGTGTCCACACCAGGCAGAGCCTTCATGGCTGGATCTGCTCCCCACCACACAGGCAGCAGGCTGCCAGGGGACACCATGTCCCCTGCCCTGACTGACTTCCCTGCCCTCTAGATGAAGCCTGCATCACCTCTGGCTCATGGGGGTGCTGTACAGACAGACAGTGGCCACACATTTGTCCTCCTCAGCAGAAGGGGGCACTCTGGGCCACCCGTGGAGCAAGCAGCTCATTAGTGGAGCCCACCCAACACAGATGAGATTTGCCTGGTTTGTCTCAGATTTCTATACGTCTGACCAAGAGGGCAACGCCTAATGGATTGGGTGGCTCCCAGCTTGGGGCTTCCCCTCTCTAATGCAGTCATGGAGTCTTAGCCAGGGACCTGCTGGGACTTAGCTGTCTTGCCTGGGATATACTTACAGGTCTCACCTGGGACATACATGTCTTACCTGGGGTGTGCCTGTCTCACCTGGAATATACTTACCTGTGACATACATGTCTCACCTGGGACATATATGTCTTACCTGGGGTACACTCATCTTTCCAGATCAACCCTCGCCTGGATGGCTGCATGAGGAGCTGGAGCTGGCTGAATGGGGAAGACAGCACCATCCAGGAAACGGTGAAAGCAAACGCGAAGATGCAGTGTTTCTCAGTGACGGAGAAGGGGTCCTTCTTCCCTGGCAGCGGATTTGCTTTCTACAGCCTCAGCTACAGTGGGTCTCCCTCCCTGTAGGACCTTGGGGGGACTCGCAGCCAGCCCCACCCTGGCAGCCAGTAGACCAGAAGTCCAGCCCAGGCCTTCTGGGTGGGACAAGCAGATGCGCACGGTCAGGCTGAGGGTTGGGGACAGACCCACGCCCATACCTGAGGGTCAGGCAGGGTGTAGGAGGTGGTTAAGGTCACTTGGTCTCCCTGCCCCGAGTTGCAGGGAGGAGACGGTGGAGATGGGAATGGGCTGGCGGGGCAGAGAGTGAGAGAGTCAGTTTCAAGACAGCTCAGTGGTGTGGGAGCAGACGAGGAATTCAACAGGTACCCACTGTGCCTGCACCCTGACTCCTAAGGAACGAGGGGGTTCTAGATGTCGCAGGTGGGATGCTATGGGTTCTGGGTGTGGCAGGTGCACTGCTATGGGATGCTGCTGACTTCAGACTTAAGGAACAAGACAGTGGGCAACATAGGGCAACGCAGGGCCAACACTTGGGGCCCTCAGGGATGGCTCTGGGTCCAGGTCAGCCCTGGAGATACGGGGAGAAGGCACTGCAGCCTCAGGGCCTGGGGACTGGATGTGGTGGAGCCAGTATCCCCACGCAGCAGCTCGGTGATGCTAATGTCAGGGGGGTCAGGAGGCTGAGGGCCCAAGACGCAGGGGTCAAGGACATCTCCCCTTCGCAGCATGCAGCTCGCTTTATTCCCACCTTCCCAATCCATGCAGCTCACGCCACACAGCATAAACTATGAGAAGCAGGTGCTGCAGGTCCTCGGGCAAGAGGGGCACTGGGTTTGTGGGGTCTGTGGGCCCTGTGGGAGGATGGAGTAAGCGGGAGCCTCCCAGCATGGCCTCCTGGGGCCCTGTAATTCTATGGAGCTTGGGTAAGCAGAAACCCTGGAACCAAAAGGGTACAGTTTCCTCTAGCTGCAGCCCAGGGCATCAGACCCATTCTCCACCCGAGCATGTCCCACACAGGGGGTGCCCATGACACGTGTCATCAGCCATGTCCTACACACATGTGTGTGTGTTGCATGTGAGTGACCATCAACTACTGAGGGCCTGGGCTCACAACAACAGTGTCCTCAGGCAGAGAGGGCCGTGTGCCAGAGCATCCGGTGCACCTTCTTGCCCCTCCCCAGACATGAGGCTGTAGGGGAAGGCAGGTCCCAGTGTCTCTGTACAGCTTCCCCCTGCCTTTTGCCGGGCCGCCGTCCCTCGCCATCCTTCGCCGTCCCTTGCAGTCCCTCTGTGGTGTCATCCGCTGCCCACTCTCACCTTCCCACCATCTGTATGGCCTCGTAATGTGCAGCTTTCATCGCAGCTCGGACATCCCTGGACACGGGGACCGGAGGAACCTGGGGAGTGGAGGTTGTGGCTCGCATCCGCCCCGCGGCTGACACGGGAGTGCTGCTTGCACTGGTAGGCGGCAACCACACCGTGGCCCTGTCTGTGGCCCTGGTCGACTACCACTCCACAAAGAAGCTCAAGAAGCAGGTAGGGCCTGGCCGCCCGCCAGCGAGGGGCCACCTGCAGGCCCCAACCCAGCTTCTCTCCACCCGGCCTCCACCCTGCCCCACCTTGCCTCCAGCTGTGGGGCCACAGTTGGCACACAGTGGCTGGAGTCTGATCCCCAGGGATGTGGGGCTTCAGCCTGCACAGCCAAGAGCACACTCAACACAGTGGAGCCTGGTGCTCAGACCTGAGTTGGTGTTGCTTAGAGTAAGGCTGGGATTCTCAGAGTTGGGTGTGGGGACTCGGCTGGTGCTCCTGTGGCTGACTTTTTGAGTGCTCATGGGACACAGGCTCAGTCTGCTCCAGGCCTCCTCACCAGGGGGTGCCAGGCCCAGGTTTCCACTCTCCTGTCACCTCCTTCGCTGTACTGTCCCCTCCACAACCCCCAGTTCACACACACAAAATCCAGGTCCCAGGGCAGGGAGTGGTCACCCAGCATCTGGGCCCCTTCTCCTATGTGACCACCGAGGACTGGTATGCTGTGGGAATAGCACAGGCTGCAAGGACAGAGCTCAGGACATGGCAGCCAGCCTACGTGGTTGGCCTTGTCTGTGACCCCGACCCATGAGCAACACCCCACCACTCCCCTCTCCCTGACCCCTGTTCTTGACGTCCTTGACCCCTCAGGATCCCAGGCCCCTCTCCCTGACCCCTGTTCTCGACGTCCCTGACCCCTCAGGATCCCAGGTCCCTCCCCCAACCCCTGTCCTGGATATCCCCCCAGCTGGTGGTCCTGGCGGTGGAGGACATCGCCCTGGCCCTGATGGAGATCAAGGTGTGTGACGGTCAGGAACACGTGGTCACTGTGTCCGTGAAGGAGGGTGAGGCCAACCTGGAGGTGGATGGCACCAAAGGTCAGAGCGAACTGAACACCGCCCAGCTGAAAGAAAGGCTGGCCCTGCTGGGGACACACCTACAGGGCGCAGTGCTCACCTTCGTCGGGGGCCTGCCAGGTAGGGGACCGCAGTGTCTGGCCAGTGATGCTGGACATCATCACTGCTGGCAGCTGGCAGTGACCGTCAGCCCATCCTGTGTTCAGCAGGGATGGCTGGGGAGACCCAGATTGAGACGAGTGCCACGCCAGCTACAGGCCTGAGCCAAGGATGTGGTAGAGGGAAACCAAGTCCCCACCGGGTCCCCGCTGCACACACAGCAGGCTGTGATCCAGGACAGAGAGATGTCACATAGTTCCAGCTTTGGAGGAGGACAAGAGCTAGGCCCCTGGCCTAGGTGATACTCAAACTGGCTGTGTGTTCCCTGGGCTGGGCTGCCAGAGCAGCAGGCCATTGTCTGTCCCAGTGATGTGGCAGCAAGGAAGGACACAGATAGGGTAGGCCATGCCAAGGGTGGGTGGACAACGCCAAGGGCACAGGGCTGTGAATCAGGCTCCTTGGGCCTAGCGCTGCCTCTGATGTACCATTTGTCCACCCTGCCCAGATGTGCCTGTGACCTCAGCCCCAGTCACCGCCTTCTACCACGGCTGCATGACACTGGAGGTCGGTGGGAAGCCCCTGGACCTGGATGAGGCCACATACAAGCACAGTGACATCACCACACACTCCTGTCCACCCGTGGAGCACGCTGCACCCTAGACCCACTGCAGGGACCTCCCGGGGACTCTTGTCCCACCATTCAGCAGAAGGCACACCCCTGCACACCAAGCAGCTGGCTGCACTGGCGAGCTGTTCTCCTGGAGGCCCTCTGGGCTGCAATGTAGTTGTAAATAATGTCAGCATTGAGGCTATGCTCGGCCGCAGGGCGACCGAGCTCCTGGGGGGACACATGGGGGCAGCAGCTCGAAGCAGAGTGGACTGAGGAAATAGTTCTCTATTATTTTTATTACCACACGCTTCTGACTCTAAAATACGGAGAATAAAATGTTTAGAGAAACCTTTTTAACCCTGTACTCTGCTCCGTGAGTTTCTTGAGCCCGCTGGGGAGGTGGTCAGCCATGTGCTTTGACCTGGGGGGCTATGAGCTGGGCATAGCAACACCAAGTGCCCCTCACCCCCAACTCCGTTCAGCTTTCTGGGAGGTGGCTGCCTGGAGGACAGGGATCTGGCTTGGCCAGCAGATCGACTCTGGTGCAGAGCAGAGCTCCACCCAATCCCTAACGCACCCTGAACTTCACACAGGGCTCTAGGTGGCAGGGGCTGGCCCAGCTGAGGCTCAGGTGGGAGCCGGAGCTGTAAGGGTCAGAGCTAGGTCTCAGGGAGGGTCAGGCCTGCTCACTGAGGAGGCGACTTGCCCACCAGGATGCAGGGTAGAGAGGCAGGGGCTCAGTCCTACAGGGCCTCAGGACCTGACGCTCCCCATTTGGGCTCATGCAGCTTCAGGATCCCACAGCCAAGGAAGAGTGGTTGTCCAGCCCAGTGCCTTAAACCTCCCTCCTCCATGCTTTCTCCTTTGAGGCAGCTCTGGAATTCTGGAATGTTCTGGAATGCTCCCAGGAGCCTCCTGCGGCCAAGGGCAAGAGGCTACAAGGGAGAAGGGCAAACACAGCTGGAGCTGGGGCTAGACTGCGGCTGAACTGGCTGGACCCAGCATAAACTGCCAGCATCCACAGCCTCCTTGGAGGGGATAAGGCCATGAGGGAGACAGCGCTGGGGCCAGAGAGGCTCCTCACCTCCATTCTTGGACTGTTTCCTCAGACGTGGGCGCCAGGCCTATTCTACCGCCTGCCAAACACAGCAAACATACAAGTGGCCAAACAATGCAATCCAGTCCTCCAGCTGGCCAGGCCCCCGGTTCCCAACCACCCTGAGGTCCACTCAGAGCCCAAGAGAGCCTCAAGGTCTCCAGCTTTGACAAGGAGAGAAGGTGCTGACTTTGCGCTGTGGAGGAGGAGG